GGAGCACCTCCTCCCCCTCCTCCTTCACTGACCTTGGTGTCTGCAGAGTTGTTTCTTTCACATATTCTTACTCCTCTCTCTGGCTGCAGTTTCTATTGCACAGGTTTTTTTCCCCTCTTCTTAAATATGTTATCCCAGAGGTGCTACCACTGTCGCCGATAGGCTCGGCCTTGGCCAGCGGTGGGTCTGTCTTGGAGCCAGCTGACATTGGCTCTGTTGGACATGGGGGAAGCTTCTAGCAGCTTCTCACAGAAGCCACCCCTGTAGCCCCCCCCCCCCCAACCTTGCCATGCAAACCCAATACAAATGGGTATTTATTTTGTCTAGGTAGAAATTTAAAAGGCGATGTCACTGAGAGTGTAAGACGCTTGTGGGCCTAGAATCAGCTTTACAGTTTAAACTGGAGTATAGAAGAACTTGAACTGTAATTTTGTTTTGAAAAATAGTGGCAATAAAGGTATTTAGTGAGAAGCCAAACCAATGAAGCTGTGTGTGTGGGGTGAGTTTTTCTTATTTTCAATCTTTCCTTCTGGCTTGGCCTGACGTTTAGGAGATGTGGAATACTGTACGGTATACTCCAGTTATCCCTGTTGTTATCGGACTAGGAACTATTAGCATCATCTTGATTCGTTAGGAAGTTTGCAGGCTCCGTGTCTGTTTAATTCCTGCCCAAAGCTACTCTTTTTTTAATAGCTTGCATTCAGGAAGACAGTGTTAACCGTATCCAGCACCTTTGGGCGGGTAGGAGAAGCCTCCTGGTTCTTAGTGGGTCTTTGTCATTTGGTGGTGGAGAACACAAGCTGGTGAAGATTTTGTGACTAGGTCAGTTTAGCCATTGGGCTCAGATTAGTCTTCTGTATTTCAGTTTCCTTAAGGGACTGGATTTGACCTCTGATTTAGTTATGACTGTGTGTGTGTTATTAATCTTTTACAGAAATAAGCTGTTTTCTCTAGCTGTTGATTGAAGTTTAGGAACTCTTTTACTCATGTATGTTTGCTGAATGTGCTTGTAGGAATATAGCGACCCTAGAGGTGCCCTTCAGTCTGATGTCATGCTATCTATCTGTCATCATTTTGATAAATTGAGCAGTTCAACCTGTAAACCTCAATCATTTTGTAATTATTCTTTTTTACTCCATTCTTTTTCTTGATATTAAAAACTTTTCTATTTTGGAGATTGATCACCTATATGCAGTATTAGTATAATATTCTGGTTGAATACAAGATAAGTAAATTTTAACTCAAGGCCAGCAAGTAATATAAAATAATAATTGTTTGTCTGCTTGTTCCTCTCTCTCTCTTTTTTTTTTTTTTTTTTTTAATATTTTTGATTATTCAGATACCCACGTAGTTAGATCCTGAAGCTTTTGTTTGGGAAGGGAAGACAGGTGTTTAATGCTCCGTGGAGCCTGAGGCCATGGTTGTGTATTCAGTAGAATTGGTTTTATGCAGTGCTCAATTACCTGTCAGTCTGTGATCTGGATGGAGAGGGAGAACACCATAGTGTTTATGCTGAGTTAGCCAGGGCCCACGATCAAACGCTGAGTTAGCTAGAGGAAGACAGACGTTGCACTGTCCAGCGCAGAGTCTGCTGTTAAAACTTGCCCTTTCAAAATTTGCAAATGCACTTGTATCAACAGATTTTTTTTTTTTGTCTGTTAAAGGATTTGCATTATATGACTTGATTGTCTTTCATCTAGCACTGAGATGCACTAAACCTGGAATTGCCACGTTATGAAACCACAGTCTGAATTTCTTCCACAGTGGAGATCAGACTTGCTAGTAAGGACTGGGTAGCTGCCTGTACTATATTTGTCCCAAACTGTACTTTTTGTGGTTATGCAAAAGGCTTCATTTTCAATGACAATAAATTTGGTACTCTTATGATCGCTCTGGTCACTGAACTGTAGAATAATTAAATGGGAATGTTTTTATACTGATGAGAATTCTTAAAAGATAATTTCAGAATACCAGTACAGTTTTTGCAACATAGCCAGCGATGTTTCTGATAGGTGGTAAGTTCTGGTACTAGTAGTTACCTTCCTCTGAAAGGAATGCTGCTGCTGAATGCCTGGTCAAATTCAAAATAATTTAATGACAGCAAGGAGATGTTATCATCTCATGAGAACTCTGGAATGCAGTCTTTGCCATTTGGGCATTTGTTATTTTGATGATTGAAGAAGTATGATTTTAAAAAAATCATGATTTAAAAAAAATTTTGATGATAAAATACAGTATGATTTAAAAAAAAAAACCCAAAACCCAAACAAACCCCAAAACACCCCCCACCCCGATGTTCCCTAGCTGAGATTCCAGGAAAAGCACGAATGAAGGAAGAAAAAGATCTAAAGGAAAATGACAACTGTATTCAAAATAGGGCTTTATAATAAATGGAAATCCAGTTTCTCTGTAAGTTTGATACCTAAGTTGATTGTTAGTGAATATTTTTGCTTTATAAACTGTGATTGTGATTGTCACCATTGCCTTTTTTACAGAGGAACCCCAAATATATTAGTTGAAGTTGATGAGGAAAAAGTGTTATATTAGAAAAACATATGATAACTACCATAATGCAGAGATATGAGACAAATGGTTACTGTATTTTTTAAGAAACCTAAATGGAATTGGAAGTTTCATATTTTGTTGTGCAAATTTCTGGCCACACTGGCATATTTAGATGTTCTAATTCAAGGTTTGTGTGTATATTCTGTGTTAACAAACTGGGAGTAAAGACACGATTGATAATAAAGTAGAGAGTGAATAAATTTGAACAAATAGGTGCTCTTCTCTATGTTCTTACTGGAAGTAACTAGCTGTGGGAAATAAAGCAGGTGTCTGAAGTTCTCAGAACTCTCTGCTTTCACAACATAATCGTCATTTTATAGAAGCTTTATTGAACCATGATTTCTTTTGCTGTTTTATTACCTTGGATGCATAATGTAACACACAATTGATTGGAAATTGTTCTATTTTTGGGAAATTTTTTTTCCCCAAGATAAATCTATAGTAAACTTTATTTAACAACTTGATATATTTTTATTTTAAGGAACAAGAAATGCCTTAAATTTCTTTTTAAAGTCTTTCTGTTAGTTAAGAACTTTAAAAAAAATAATCCGAATGTGTAACAATAATGAATACTCTGTATTCCTGGTACAGGAGGAGAAAAAAACAGACAGCTGCAGCCAGACAGCTCTCTTCTGAAAATAACTACCAAAGTCATCCGGTAGTATTGTAACAAGTAAAATTTGTACTTCAGTTTTTTTCATTCTGTTTTTGTGCTCTCCAGATACTGTCTGAATTTTCTTCAGAATCGGTATATTTGAGAGTACTTGAAAGGAATGAAAGAAACGTGAATATTGTTTTGCCCAGCAGTTGAAGAGAATTAGTTCCAAAAGATCCTAATTTGTGTCTTCTCAAAAAAACCACGGTGTTTTTCTTGAATAAACTGTACTTCCTGTGCATGTAACCATTCAGAAATGACTTCACCTTCTGAAACATGTCTTAAACAATGATGCTACAGACAAATTTTAAATTTGATTATTGATTTATTGGCTAGCCTTCTGCATGTGTGTTTTTAGCTAGTCTAAGAGCTTTTTGGCTGGCTAAAATAGGTATGTACCTAGCAAAGCCATGTGTTCTCCAAGTATAAAAAAGGTAATAGGAAATATGTATAAAATAATATATTTTCTTTCTAAACTTTTATTATATCTTTTCTTTTTTAATTCCACAATAACAAATTGTGAGTTAGTGTAGTGTTCTGTAACATCATGATTTGGATTCTTCTGTTTTGTTTATTTTTTTTCAAGAGAGCAGTGAAATTACATATCTTGCATGTTAAAGGAATCTACTTTTACTTGCAGTGTGCTTTGAAAATGTCTGAAAATTCCAGTGACAGTGATTCATCTTGTGGCTGGACTGTCATCAATCATGAGGTACCCAATCTCAAATTAATAAAGTTCTGTCAGTTTAAGACTAGCCACATGCAATAGAATATTATTTTAACTTTGTAGTTTTTGTTTAGTGTGGATCTTGCATATCAACAGAGAATATAGAAGAGAGATTAAGAAAACATAAAACTACTGTTTAAAAATATGTATCCTTTATTATAGCTTATAGCTAATGAATAAGAAAACATAAAACTACTGTTTAAAAATATGTATCCTTTATTATAGCTGATATAAATTTTGTTATTTAAAAGAATAATTTTTTTCTGCAAAGGTTTTACTTTGAAGAATTGCTAGAATTTTAGTGAGATGCTCTCCTTTGTTCCATCTTTCCTGAAAACATTGATATTCTATGTAACTTGTCTGTTGTTGCTAATATATTTCTTCTTTTCCTTCCAAATCCTTCTCCCCACCCCCCCCCCCCCAAAAAAAAACTGTCTCCCCCCCCCATCCCTCTGCGGCCCCGGGAAAAATATCTCATACAGAAGGGAATGATTCCATGATTTCTCCGAGTCTTTTCTACCACCAAGGTATCTGATCCTACCTTTAACAGTTGCTGTTTAGGAACAGCCCTCTGTCCTTACATTCTGTCTTTCTTATGAAAAAATAGGACAGGGACGAGTTTATGCTCAATGACTAGAATATTAGAAGAAGGCATTTTCAAGGCTCATGTGAATGCTATAGTTTGTGCATAACTGACTGCTTTTGTTCCTGACTGGAACAGTCTCTCTCTTTGAGTTGAGCCTCTGAGCTCAGGAGGTTGAGGACTGGCATAAAGACATCTGTGAGTTATATGCTGCCTCTAATCTTTTGTATTGCTTCACTCTGCTTATAGAATGCAGAAGGCAGTTTGGAGAAAGATGCGCATAGGCCTGTTGGGTCTTATTTGCATGATTTTAAGCACTTTCATTTGTGTGGAATGCTGTTCTGCATTGAGAAGGAAAGATACGGGGAGTTTAGAGGGTTTGGGGTCTCCAGAAATCAAGTGTGTTGCAAAGACTGGTTGGAAATCCCTTGGAGAGGGTTATGTAACAGAGACTATGTAGTTATATATTCCATACCCAAGATGCTGGAGTTTTCCCAGGCTTTCTTGCGGCAAGTGAAATCTGGGGGAAGCTACAGTGAGTAGAGGAATACCAACATTTTATTAGGTTTATTGGGAAATGAAGGTGATGGGAGGGCAGGGCAGTGCAGGTCTCCTTACATCTGTACTGTAAGGTCAGGAATGAGAAGTATAGCCTTCTCGGAGCTTAAAATGATGATTGGTGAGGGCTTGCCATACTTACGCTTGGAGGGTCTTGAAAACTGTAACAGCCTGAAAGGCTTGGAGGTGGTAATAGATTCTTCTGTGAGAAGGACTGAGTTTTGAAGTGACTTTCTTTTCTGTTTTCCAAGGACTCGCAGCAGCTTTTAGCACAAGTTCTTTGCAATTCACGTTGGAATTCTGGGTTTCCTTGGCCCTACTGTTGAGGCAGGAGAGTGCAAGGCATAAAATATGTAAAAATAACCTGGATATTTGCACCTTGTGGAGGAATTCATATGGCAGTGCAGGACTGAGCTAGTGGCAGCAACTAAGAGAATGTTGTTTGTTTGTTTTTTTTTTCCATTAGGCAAACTGTCACTGAAGAGACAGCTCCCATAAGGAAATATACAAAAGCAGTCTAATTATTGTGTAAGGAAGTTGTGATGGTAGATTGTGTGGCAGCAGGTAGAAGGAGTTAACAGACTGTGTGCAAGGCAAAAAACTGTTCTTGGTTCAAAATACCTGTTGTCTTTTAAGACCTATTCAATTGCTGTATGGAGCTCTATCAAATTTGTATGACTTCACTGGTGTTTCTGTCCATCTTTTGATCTCTGCTATAGCTTCATTTATTAGGCATACTTTTATTTGGGATGAAATGCTAGAATTCCCTCATTCTTTGATCAAGTCTTGGGGTATAGCTATTTGTAAAGTCACTATTATGTCTGTGTAGCCCTGGTTTAATTTGTGTGTTTGTATTTCCTGTCTTCTGATGTTTGACTAGTTGTATAAAGTGACAAGGGCTTTATTAAAACAAAAGTAATTTTTAATTCCTAGTAGAATAAAGCTTGAGACAAAAGAAAAAAAGTGAAGCAATTAAAGGTCTGTTGGGATGGGATTTGTTGTTGCCTAGGTGTCTACAGGGTAGTAGGTGTCTGAATCTGATGTTGGTTTCTAAGTTTGCATTATACAGATTAAATCAATACAATCAATGGACTCTAGAGCACAGTAATTCTTATGCTAAGGTCAACACATATTTGATCAAATGACTTGCTGTCTTGACTCCACTGACTGTATTGATTGTAAATGTGCCTTCAACAATTCGCTCAGGTGTAGACACTTGAAGTTAGATAAGATTAATGTTTTATCGTATTTTCCTCTAGCGGTGAACAAGGCAGGCCTAAGTTGCTCAGAAACTCTGAGAGGCCCTACCTATTGGTGTGGACCTGCAGTATGCTTTCGTCCTTTAGTCCTGGGGATTTTTCTGTCTCTTCAGATCTTGGCTGATGCGTGGGTGTATTATGGGGGTTTTCTTTGTTTTGTTTTAAGTATTTAGCAGTCTTGTAAACTGAGCAGGTTATTGAGGCAGAATCCTCAGAGCAAATGGGTTAACTGTTTTCCTGGAATGACACTTACATATTGGTTGTCTGTATCTTCTTGTTGCCTGCCCCAAAACATTTTCAAGGAACAGTACTTGAGATATTTCATTCATAGGAGGAAAACAGAAAATAATGGGAAGAGATCATGGGTAGTGATCAGCTGTTTCTCCTTCACTGCATACTCCCCTATTTGCAGATTATAATGAAAATCTGGGTAATTCGAAAGGCATGCCATTACAAGCTTGTGATTGTACTCAAGTTTTGAAAGCTCAGTTCAGTTTCAAAAGCAAGAGACACAGTTTGTGGCTTATAAATGTTGGGCCATGGTTTCATTTCTGTTGGCAGCAAGCTGGTATTTAAGAGGTGGTTAAAATTACTTTTCCTTGTTTTGGGTCGGATGACAAGTTGGGAATCGTGTCACCAAAAGAGAAACAGAAAACTCACTCACTCCAGTCCTCAAGACCAAGCGGGATACAGGAGTGCACAGGCTGCCGGACTTTACAGACTTCTAATAAAAGTGAAAGGATTTAGATGTTGGGTTACTCAGCTGTGAATTGCAGGCTTTATTTTCATACTTGGGATGGTTATTTTACACTGTAACTGAAAATGAATTATGCAGTCTAAATAAATTAAGATAATACAAGATTTATAGGAAGGCAGGGATTTGTCTAGCCAAAGCAGAACAGATTTCTGTGCTGTAGAGATTTTCTGTTCCCAGTTATTCTTCCCTGATTAAAAGGAATAAAATAATTCTGTTCGGGGTGGGAAAACACTGGTGTTTAAGAGCTTCCATTATTGGCGTTCTCCCGGCAAGACAGCTTTGAATCTGAGCATGAAGAAAGTAGAATGAATGGGATGGCAAGATACCCTTCACACACTTGTTATCCAGGGAAGGGGTGGCATGTGGACTACTGTATATACTTTGGGGAAATGATTTGGATACTTAGAAAAGGGATAGAGCTAAAGATTGGACAAATTTGGAATACTACAGTATTACTCTCTCACGTATTGTTGCGACCTGTATTGTGGATTTGTTTTGCCATTTACAAAGGCACCGAGTTAAGAGGGGCAAGAAATGGCAATTGGCTAGATTGTGACTGCAGAGAACCGACAGCTGTGTATACTGAGTTTAATACCTGCTTTGAACAGAGAAGTGATGCTGTGTATCGTTGGACTACTCTTAAGAAAGCACTTGCTAATTTTGTGTAGGAGTGTAGGAAAAGGGGTGTAGTGAGGAGACAATATCCTTTCTCAACCTCTTTGCTGTTGATGAAATGAAGGGTGATGGAGGTCTAGCAACAGATTAAGTGAACCGGAGAGTTCAGACATCCACACCAGACTGCACGTGCTTAAAAAAGGATGTTGTGGAGCCTGGACAAACTCAATTTTTGTTTTTCTTTTTCTTCACACTTAAGAAACGAAAGTAATGGTTCTATTACACCAGAGAACAATTGTCATGTAATAAATCTATACACCTATCTATAAAACCCAACTGAGCCAAAAACCCCAGATAATTTTGTATTTCCTTTCCTGAGATTTCACTCAGATTTTAATAAGTTCTAATGTAAGTTACTTATAATTGAGCGGTGAATTTCTGCAAAACATTTGAGATTGAAATTGTGATATTTTTGTAGTCAAAAGAAAAAAATACAAAGTATTTGTCAAATTACTAAAGCAGTTAATTTTTTAAGCCTTTTAAAAAGGAACAAAACTTTGTAATGTGATTGTGGAATGTATCTTATGCAACTCTTTTTGAGGTATCTGATCTTCCTGAAGTACAGTCTCCTCTTAAAAACAAAAGCATACATGTTTGCTTGAGTCCTGAAATGAGGCATCTTGGGAAACTGATCTGGAAGTATTACTACTACTGTAATTTCACACCTGCTGTTGCAAAAATAACTATCTCTGTTTACAAAAACAGCTCAAGTTATTTATGGATCAGAGTGACTCAGTATTTTTCAGTTACATTTTGCATGTTTGTAGTTTTCTAATAACCCTACTTGTGTTCCATCAGTTCTTTTAAACAAAAATTACAATATGAAGATTAAATATTTAGAGTTGTCAGCCATATTGCTTGCCTTTAGTGCCCTGCAGTCTCCGAGCGTTGTTTATCTTCAGTTCCTGTTTTGCTCTGAGGTTGTTGCTGACTGGCAGCTGGCTAATAACTAAAGGTCCTTTCTGTATTAAAGACAGAAATCCAATTTAGATTGGATTATCGAATTTATTTGGATATCCAATCCAAATAAATATTTGTTTACCCAGTGTCAGAGTTGTACTATTAAAACAGCCATTCAAATTTGCTGATAGGAATTGAGATGGAGTAGAGTTATACATATCTTTTCCTGGTAGTAGTACTTGTTAGAGTTCACGGTGGTACTCTTGGAGTTCCATTTTTGGGGAGTGTGTGTGTATTTACATACAATACATGGACACGTGTGCAAGAACTAGATCCCATATTCAAAACTCATTTGACAACCTCCTCTGTTTCTCTAAATTCTACTTAATAAAATAGGTCTAATAAAGCTAATAGAAAATAGTTATTTTAAATACTTAGCATAGTTGTTAATTGATGCCTAAATTGCTTTTTTTTCCCCCTAGAATTGTTCTACTCTGCCTTTTTTTCAATCATGGTCATAAGTATTGCACACTAACAGTTGTTTCCCTCTAGTTAATTACTTGGTATTTCTCTTGCTTTGCTTAAAGTCGTCTTCAGTTTTAGAGTTGATTATTCTTCTCTTCTGTTTTTATTATTAATATTCTGTTTTCTTTGTAACCCTTTCCTTCTGCTTTACTGATGGAAACTCCAATAACTGTAATGTTTATCTAAAATGCTTCAACTCCAGGGTTCTGACATAGAGACAGTGACTTCAGAAAATGGAAGCACAAATGATAACCATGAGTTTGTTTCAGAAGAATATGTTTCTTTGCAAGAAGAGGAGCAACCAATTGATTTGCAAGGTAAGCTATTAAAAGAGGAGCAGTTCCATAAAATAGGTAAGTGTCTGTTGTAGCATTGGCACAAAACTAGTATTTTTAATAGAGTTTGTATACTTTGTAGGCCTCTGTCAAAGTACTTGCTTCATCAGTGTTACGGAAAATATTCCGTCATCAACTTTATAAAAGTATTTTTTCTTGAAATAGATGAAATTAGTAGAATGTCTTTCATTTGTAAATACGTTAGATGTGTTATAGAATAGTATGCACTGGTGTTGCTGGAAAATAGTTTATAGAAGTGATGTTGATAAAAGAAATTCACTATATTAAACATTCCTTAATAATGTCATAGATCAAATAAGAGTAATTTGGAAGGAACCATCAATGCTTTTACACCTAAAAAATAACATTGTGGCACTGTGTTAGCATTTCTTGAGTTGGAAGTGTAAGTCTGGTGCATATTAATATAATGAAAATCCTTCTGCTTACTTTAATTACTAAATTTAATACTCAATTTGTTAATATTGGCATGACAACACAGATGTGACAGGTTCAGTATGCAGTTGACTAAATTTGAGCTTGGCCATGTTTCCAGATTCATAACCTCTCCTTGTAGAAACAGGACTAGACACCCAAACTGCAGTGACTATCTGGAAAATATTTTAATTATCCTACCATACAAATGTACTGTGGTATCAACTTACAGTGTAGTGTTGGTTTTTACCTAACTCTGCTTTTCAGTTACAGGTTACTTGCATTATGATCAGTATGAGCATTTGAATTTAAGTATCCTCCAAAACATTGTATTACATAATGACAAATTGGATTCTGATGTTTGTTAGGGGGATATTAAAAATGAGATTTAGTGTATTTTTAGAAAAACTTCCCTGATATGAGTAGATAATAGAAATCGGTCACAATTATACATATTTTAATATTATACGGGAGTGGGCATAATTTGTGGAGTTACTGGTTTTAATCCGTGTTTGCTTGTTTTTTCCTCTTTTTATTTATATAGCTCAGTGCAACAATGATGGAGAGATACCAGTGGTAGATAATGCTCTCTCTGCTTTTGAGGAAACTCAGACAGTTCCAGAGGTAAATTACGTTACGTTATTCAGAAGCTTCTGTAAGCCCCATCTGACAATGCCAAGCAATATTTTGAAGGCATTAAAATAAAGATACAGATTTTTCCTTTCTTTAAAGCATTAAGAATTCCTGTTACTTTAAAAAATTACTTTATATTGTACATATCTGAATAATTTTTACATTTTCCATTTTTACATTGTCCATTTCCCTAGGGAAAGAAAGAAAAAATCCCTGATGATGGGTCCTGCATTGGAACTATTAGTGATGATTCTGACATTGTTACACTTGAAGCTCCAAAACCAGAAGAAAATCAAAGTCAGGAGGAAGCTCCAGCTGATGCTGAAGAAGCTCGAAGTTCAGAGGATTTTAACATGGGTTCCTCCTCTAGCAGTCAATATGCATTTTCCCATCTAGAAACTGGTAAGAGCAATAAATTACTAATCAACTGTGTGCAAAAATGTCACCCGGGGAAAAAAATAAAAAATCTTTGCTTAGGGAACCTTCTTTCTGTGGAGAGGGAAAAAAAAATTGGTCTTGTTGAGTACACGTCCAAGTATTTGCAGTCTCTAGGACAACTCTAGTTGCCTTAACTCTAAAACTTTGTCCAAATGTATATCTGCAATCTTTTTATTTGGAAGTGTTCTCTCCCATCAAATGTTCACTATTTTAAATGGAAAGTAACTTTCTAGCATATTTTGGAGAATTAAAATGACTTCTAGTTCTTGGAATAATTGTAGGTTTTCTCTTGGCAATTTTTTTGGCTTTTATGGAGTTGGCATAAGTAACTAGCAACTGGGAGAGAATTGATTTTTGGGGCCATGAGGACTAATTTTGTAGCATGACTACAAAAACTTTTTGCTTACCTTCATAGCTATGTAGAATATATGTATTTTTTAAGATGCTCCCAGTACTTGGCAGAAATGCAATGCATGATATTCAGGAGGAAGGATATGAATATTTGGCCAATTAAAAACAAACAAAACCCCAACAAACCCAAACAAAAAACCAGCGTTGTGTTACTCTTCTCTAGGTCTCTAGTCTTCCTTTTTAATTCTGTTTGGCTGCTTATTTGTAATCTTTTCTGTTCTCTTTATTCTCTATAACACTTTTGTGTTACTGACTTTTACCTTTCACAGTAAGTTTATTACAAGAGCAGGATTTTTCTTAAAATACTGTTTTATTTTAGAAGTAGAATAAAGCGTCATTAAAGGTTCATGTACCTGTATAGTATCCATTGGAATCAGAAAATGACAGCTTAGCATCTAGTTATGACCAGTGATGATTCGTAACAAAGCTGTCACCTTCTTTAAGTCTTCTGGATGACTTAATTTTTAACTTAAAATTTAGTTGACTTTCTTTTTTCTTTTAGGGCTGAGTTCTAAATTTTTTTTTTCCCTCCCATGTTTTTTGTACACAAAAGTCAGTTGGCTGGAGAAGCTGAGGAAGATTCCTGATTGTGTAAGGGGATGGGGAAATGAGGTGAAAGAGCATGTGTCTCACAGTCTTCCTTTCCAAGGTGGTGTGATTAAGTTTGATCAGCTTGTGTAAAGCTGATGGCTTGTGGCTTGCATGGAGTGTTCTTGAAGTTATCAGTAGCAATCTGACTTGATCTTATAGTAGTGATATTCCAAACAGATGCTGAAAGCCAGTCCTCACTGAAGAATTTGGCTAAGTGTCAGTGTTGTATTTGCTTTTTTGAAAAATGTTAAACGTACATGTCAATTTGGAATGGGCATCAGTAAGCTTTGTAATACATTTTAATATGTGTGCTTGACCATTTAAATGAATGGTTCTTGTTGGATTCCAAATCTATGTGTGACTGGCAAAAGGAATTTCTTCCTTCTAACTTAAGCTGATTTCAGCATGGTCTTTAGTGCTGTGCGTTTGATTGACTAAGTATTATAGAAAATGTCCGAGTACTTTAGCATTTATTAAATGCCAAAGTTTCAGGAGTCAAAATTTTCATGCCACTTTTTGGCAATGGAAATCTTTGTCATCCACTTCTTGTTGAGTTTTCTATTATGTTGGAAAAGGATGAGCTTCAGATTTTCCTAATGTAGATACTAAAACGTTCTATGAGGATTTTCTGCCACTTCTACTTGCAAACCAATTACTGTTCAGGCTGTCTTCACCATGCAAACAGAAATGTTTTAATATTGCTTCATGAAGAAGTTAACTAGCAGAAGCACTTCTATACTGAAATAAACTGCATCTAGGCTTGAGACATGTCTGTGCAGAAATGTCAAAGAAAATCACATTCTTAACTTCATTGGTTACATTGTTACTTCATGTGGTTTCTAGTGTAGATCTGACACTTCAAAATCATAGCAGAAGCTAGAATTTTGGACTGCTACTGTGGTCGCACTTTGTTTCATTTATACTCCTTTTCATCCTGTGAATGTTAGAGTACAGCTTTGTACTGAATTCCTAGAGCAGCTGTAAGGCAATGTCATTCTTGTCTGAAAGTGTAATGCTGTTGACAACTTGCCAGTAAGTGCTTATGAATGGCTCTAAATGTCTTGCAGCTTTTTCTCTTTGCTTTCTGGTTGTCTTTTTTTTCCTTTCCTATACTTTGCTGTCCAGTGTATATCAAAGAATTTCCCGTTAGGCTAGAAGCAGCTTGTTCCTTAACCGCTTTTGTATTCCATGTGCATAAGCTTCTTTGGTTGTTGGAAAAAAAACTAAAAAACCAAATAGGCAATAATAACACCTGTCTTATTAAGTATGTCCTGTAATAATCCTTTATAATGTCTGACCTCTGCATTCTAGTGAAAATACCTCTCTCCTGACTAATTTCTGAATGCTTGTCTTTATTGTCCAGGTTTGGGGAAGTATGCATCTGCTTAAATGACTGATTCTAAAATAGCGTCCTTTTCTGCCAAGCTATATAAAGTAATTTAAGAATCTGCATGTCAAGTAGCTGTTTAAGTGATTTGTCTTTATTGCAATGTCTGCTTGGTCAGTCTGGTTTGACTCATTGACTAAAATGGATTTTTTTTTTTTAGTAAGAGGGGAAGTTATCTTTCATTATCTGACCTGTTGCTTGTCCATGGAGTCAGAAATTAGACATGTATTCCAGATACTAATTGGTAATCTTTTCTGGGGTTGATGCGATCGCTTCTGTGAAGTTGGAATTTATTTTCAGTGAAGAATCTTAACTGGTAATGCTTTTTATAGAAAATGGCTGGCACTGCTTGGCATTCTTGTCTATTCAGTGATGTGTGCATGGCTTTGCTCAAACAAATGATTTTCAGTTGTGGAATGTTCAAGGACAGTAAATCTGTATTTATACTTTTACACTTGAGTGATGATCTCTGATATGACGATGAACAACCATATTTCTAGAAGGGGCATTAGCATTGTGTAATTGCAGGCACCAAATTTAGAACTATCTGAGCAGGAGCACTTTGTCATGTGCTGGAGGCTTCATTGATCACACTGAATCTATTTCAGGCATGTGAATTAGGTACGTGAACATAGATATTTGAAAGCTTCTTTTTCACCCTGCTACTGCTTCCTCTTGATATTTGCCTTACACTTGAAAATGATGCTTTCAAAGGAGGGAGATTAAATAATCATTACTTATATACTGGATTATATACATTTATTTACAGTACATGTAGCAACCATTTGTACCACTAAGAGCAACAAGCAATTACAGCTCTGTTGTTACTTTCCCGGTTAGAATATATGGCTTTTGGGCCATAGGAACATGAACATGCAAATGGTATCACAAATACCATTTTACGAAGATGCTATAGAAGATTTTTTTTTTTATGGTTAGAATTTGTTCTTATCTCAAATCTTGGCCGATTCAATCTTCCAAAACATCAGTCAGGTAATAGAAGTGTTTTGGATTCAGAGTGTTAGGGGAGGGACAAGCACAGAAGCACCTGAGTGGTTCTTTTCCTGTGCAGTAGGGGTTGAAAACGGCTTTTTTAAAAGGTGGGTAAAGACGTTAATAGGTAGTATATGGTAGATATTAAAAGTAAACAAAATTACATATTTAAATAAATTTGCAATGCAAAGCTTTGTTTGGATATTTATAATACCTACATTAATGGAACTTTTAATGGAATTTTGTCTGCAGCTGCATGTAGATCACAGAATGAAGTTTTTTGAGAGAATATAATAAAACCATGACTGTCTTTTAGGAGGCTTTCTTTTAGCAAGCCTTTCTGTTGCTCTTTTGTTATTAAATAGTTCAGTCTCAGTATCTGTAAGAGAAGGAAAACTGGATTCTTAACCTTTCTACTTCACAAGAATTTGCAGAGGCAGTGCATGTAGGTGCTTTAAGAGGCAGGATTGGCTGAAAGAAACACTAATGAGCGAATGATAAGGTATGGGGAAGTGCCATACAGTCTTTTGCTGATGATTTCTTGATTCTCTATCTTTTCCTTTTAAAAAATGAATTTTTAACTTTGGAGATCAAGCATTCCTTGAGTAATATCCAGCATAAACTATCACACTGAGAATTTTTATTTTGTTTTTTAAGGTTCTCTAAGATAAATGCCAAATACATTTTGCATAAATACGATGGATTTTGGTACTCAAATTGATTTTTTTTTTTTTTTTTTTTTTAAAGCAACAATTAATGCATTTTGAAGACTGTTGTTCTATGTTGGTTTTCAGTTTTTTTGTCTCAGGCTAGCAATGATGAATCAAGTAGTGATGAAACTAGTAATCAGTCCAGTCCCGCAGTACGAAAACGTCGGGCTAAGAAGAGGCTGATCTCTAGCTCCGAGACTGAGGGTGGGTCACCTGCTGAACCAGAGTCTGAACCTCCCAGAGAAGAGCAGCGCAAACGCCAGTTCAGTAGTGGCCTTAACAGATGCATCATACTAGCTTTGGTGATTGCAGTCAGCATGGGCTTTGGACACTTCTATGGTGAGTTTATAGAAAACAAAATACATAGAATCAACATCTTACATAACAAATACCATTTTATTGTGCCTCTGACTTTTTTTTTTTTGTCTTGTTCTCTGCTAACAATCTAAACCTAAAAATGAGAAAAAGCAACTGCTAATGTATGGATAATATAGGGAGGCCCTTCAGTGCTGCAATTGTATTTAATATACACTACTTTAAAATTAAAGTAAATAAAAAGAAATTAACTTTTGGTTGCCCTTCCAGATAGAAATTTCTTGTTGTTCTTATAATGCAGTGTGTACCCTTCACTTTTCACATCTTTTTTCTTTTGAAATAAATTTGTGGTAGTGCTTATCATTCCTAACAGCATTCACAGAGTTATTTCAGGCTTTTGTCCCATATGTACTAATCTGGTAAATGTAAGAGCAAGGCATGTTTTTTACAGGAGTTCATAGTATCAATATTTTTCTCTCTCCACTGTAGTTGTCCTTGCAATTCCAGAGTGGTTTAGGGAATCCAGGATAGCAGCAGTTTTTCTGTGTTCAGTGCGTTGCCTAAAGTTGAGCGTTACACAGATTGTTACTACATTTAACAAAACAGCAGGACTCATTACAGACCTAAATGTACGTAGTGCAATCCTGATATTCTAAGATACATATGTTATGATAAAAATGATAGAGGGCATTTATCTTTAATAGTAATTTTCAGTGAGTAGTTTAGTTTTATATGAAAATGCGCCTTCATAAGAAGACTTGTGATTGAATTTGAGACTGGGAATGTGATTCTAATTGGATTTGATTTTTGACTAATTGTTAGGGGTCTAAATTTTGAGATTTATACTAATTTTCACTTGACCTGATTTTTATTTTTTTTTTGTTCTTAGGTAAACCTGAAGGTAAGAGTCATGAGTGATGTATTGTGGATGCTGTGCTTGCATTCAGATTTCCCTTTTTAAATGGTGTGTGTGTATGTGTACACACACATCCATGTATGTATGCATACTTACATTTAAAAAAAAAAATAAAAATCAAGTCTTAAGAATTACTAGTGTATGCGGGATCGTAGGAATGACTAATCCAGTCATGTAAAATACTTTTTATTTAGCAGCTGCAGCTAGTAGTAGCTGGTGTAAAAACTGATTGATGTATATTGGCATGCTAGAAGCAGAGAGGAGCACAATGGCTAGACCAATCTTTGATAGTGCTTTGTGGTGGTAACTTGAGGTTTCACTTCTGTTAATCATTTTACTGTGTTTAAATTGGGGTTAATGATAAATATTATCCTTTTAAAGAACTTTGAGATCTATGGATGAGAAATAGATTTTGGAAATGAACTCAGGGTCACATCTTTATTACGGGATTCACTTTGACTTGTTCATTCATTGAGTCTGTACTTCGAAATAAAAATTGTCATCACTGATGACAGTGCTGACAGCATTCTCAGCAGAAAGAAGGCAACTCTGTGTGGCTTTAGTTTTTGCTTCTTCAAGTGAAAGTTTTTCATGGTTATGTGGTAACTAATCTTTCTACCACTAGAAAGGAAATCAAATCCTGCTTTCCATCTTACTGGTTTTTTTTTGTTTATATTTTGAACACAAACTTCCAAAGAGAAATCCATCTCCCTAGAGAACTACTTTGCATTTTTGTGATTCAGCTTGGAATGAATGTTTTCCACAGCTGTCTTTTAATGCTAGGCTAATTGTCCTGTGAGAGGATTGGAAAGGGTTAGTTTTTATGAAATTACTTTTTTTGGGGGGGCGGGGGGAGGAGGGGGGTCAGTTATCAGTATAGTGTTTTCCCTTTAGCTACAGCTCCAGGACCCCTTTAAGACTGTTAAAGATGTAGAAAGCAACTAGGATTAGGTTTTAATCGATAACTGTATCCTAATCAGTATTAAACTGAGTTAGCTGGCTTTATGATGCTCTAGGAAGGAGATCTGAAAGAGGGCAAGCTTTCCAGGAAAATAGGTACCTGGAAAAACTAAAGTTGGGAAGCCCTTGCCAGAAGAGTGTCTCCTTATGGACATTCAGATATTTAATTTTTTTCTTTAACCAGAATCTGCAAAAGGGAATATTGCTATAATGCTAGGGATTTGGATAGATTACTTAAAGAATCTGAAGGATACTGTGACTTAGAGTGCCAGCTGGAAACACAAACCAATTACTGAGGAATTGTGCGTCATTACATGCATTTTCAATGTCTTTGCTACCCTTTCTGTGTTGCTAAATGTCACTTTTGCTTACTGTATGTAAATTACTATTCTTGATAGAGAAACAGACTTCAAGTGTTTTTCTGTAATTCAGGTTCTTCTTAACGTGAACCCTTTACACTAAATGATGATTTTTTTTCAGAGGCAGTCTTCAGATTCTTAGGATAAATGGACTTCTTCAAAAGTATCTATAAAACATAAATATGAAAAACAAATTTCCTGTCAGTATACTTAAATTCACTTATGCAAGGATCTGTGCTTCCAATAAGTGTTTATTAGGACTCTGCAAACTTAAAATCATTGCTGTAAAAACGTTGCTTTCCCTTAGCTGAATTGAACTATTGAGGTTCAAGTTGGTTTAATAGAGCATTGTCTGGTTTTAGGTGCATACTTGACAACAGAGAGCACAAAAAATTCCTCAGTATAATAGTATTTATGGAATTTCTTCTGTTTAATAATACACCCCCCCTTTCAATACAGAAATAGAACTCTGCATATGCTGCATTGGTTTTGAAAGAAACACCTAAAACTTGCTGTTGCCATCTGCTGTAGAGTCAATTGAAGAGAATCTTAAAAGCAAAGAAATAAAAACTACATCAATGTTAGGATTTACAGAACTGTAATAGATAGGGAAGTACCAGTAAAGAAGTTTTACTTGAGGGAAAAACTTGGTGGCTAGTACAATGAAGATATTTTTTCAGAAAAATAGTGTGTCTCAGCCTTTATCTGACAATTGAAAGATAGGATATTTGCTTACTCCTCAGCCTTCACTCATGGATAAGAATGACAAGATAGGGCCTGCAAATACTTGCTGCTTTGTGAGCAGTGTGTTATAATTGTGCTTCTGCATGGAAGTTTAAATACTGTGTTAAGATCCTCTTGTTCATGTAACTTTACTTAACAGTAAAAGTTGTAGTTCTGAGATGGATAATGCATGGACTAATGGTCTCCCTTTTATCCTGATTGGCTTGCATGTTACTAAAAAAAGGACAAAAAAAATCACACATATCCTGTCCTGCATAACTTCTGTTGTTCTGTATCTAACTTATTTCTACGTAGTGTTCCAAAATCCCTTCATTTGTTATCATCAAATAAAAGACAGCAAATTTTTGGTCTGTTTGAGAAATTGTTTATCATTGGAAGAAACAGAATCAGTATGTAACAATCTGGTTTTATAATCTTTATTTTGTTACAGCTAAACAGTTACTAGTAAGTACAGGGCAGAAACTGCAAAGTAAGAATGCTTTTGAATTTGCAGAGAAAATGAAGATGATGTTTAGGTTCGTCTGTTCCTCTAACTACTTTACTTAATGTAAGTCAGACTATCAAAAGAAAGTTTTTATCTTTGTAGGTACAATACAGATCCAGAAACATCAGCAGCTGGTGACAAAGACACGTGAATTAAAGGATATGAAAGATGACCTTTACCAGTGCCAACAAGAGCAAGGCGATAAAGTGCATCATAAAGTGGGGGTAGGTATGAGTTTAGCTGGAAGTCACTGGGTTATTCTGTCATTATATGTGTAATTTACACAAAGTGAACTTAATTTATCACACAATCCATTACATTTTTTTCTTTAGTAAATTCTTTCTGAGAATGTCATTTTTCTTTCCCCTGAATTCTTGACAAAGATTTTGTATTTTGATAACATTTGTTATTGGAATGTATTTAAACATACTGGTTTTTATGTATGTAGTCTAGGATTTATCTGGACACAGAGACTGTCTCTTTTCCTATGACATAATGGCAGGTTGTCATTAACGAAGACAGCTGAAGTAGAACATGCTGGGTAAAAACCTATTGCAGGTTGAACCTACAGGTTTTGTGAATTTGCTTTCTAAATTGTCAATGATTATTAATTTTTTAAATACTTAACCTGTACTTTTAGTTTTTTACTGTTAGATCATTCAGAGAGAAGATCAGGGAGTGCTTTGTGTGTGCGTGTCTTTTTTTTTTTAAGTTTTCTTTTATGTGGCTGATAGCAGCATTCATACATAATTCAATATGTTTAGTTCTAGAGTTTGTCAAGGACACCAAGAGACTGGGGAGATCCTTTTGTGTTAGGATATAGTTACATGAACACATATTTTCAGCAGCAAATTTGGTTCAAAATCAGTTCCTGAATTTCTGCCCCAACTGTTGAATGTCCTTGCTTCTGCTAATGTATTTGGTTTTGTAATCTGTAAACCCAGTTTGCTGAACATAAATCAACAGCAAACATGCACATTTTCATTTCCTTTTAAGATGGAGCAATTAATGTACCCAGTTTCCTATCCTTCAGCTAGTTAAACCAATACAAGTGAGGGCTGATGACCTCTGGTTAGAAGGGGGAGCCTCTCACATGGTCTTTGTTGCTAAGAAAGTGTTTGTGTGTATATCTGAGATAAACAAACTAGCTCTATTTTTGCATCTTGCTGGAACATGTGTCACTGCATCCAAAATGAGAAGTAAACTCTCTCTGGGCTACCTTGGTCTTTCATCTTTCTAGCTGAAATTGTAACAATTCTAATTGTAGTATTTTTGCTTGTTTTCTTTTTGTTTGTATTAGTCACTCAAGGGAGATCTTGCCACATGTTTGACCTCTACTGAGGTGGAGAAGAAATTCTTTGACTCTCAAAAAAAAAGTCTTGCTGCAGAAAATCAGCACTTAAGAGAATCTCTAGAGAAGGAAGAAAAAGCTTTGGCCTCACTTCAGGAAGAATTAAGGAAGCTAAGACAACAAATTAGAAACTTAGAAGATAAAGGTACTAGTACTGAGTCTATTGTAATGGAAAATCAGAAACTAAGAGAACATTTGGAAGAGGAAAAGCAAAGAAACCACAACTTTCTTAGGCAAAAGGAAACACTCTTTGCAGAGGCACAGATGTTAAGGAGAGAACTGGACAAAGAACGTCATGTTACAGAAGCCCTAAAAAAAGAACTGGAACAGTTAAGTTCTCGTCAAACACCTGACAATGCTGATGATGATACATTAAGAGAAAATCAAGAAATAGAAACTCTGCGAGGAAGGCTAGTAGAACTAGAAAAAAAGCTAAACTTTGAGCAACAGCGCTCTGACTTATGGGAGAAGCTGTATGTTGAAGCGAAAGACCAAACTGAAAAACAAGAACTTAATGAAAAGGGACAAAAGAAAGGTGCTAAAGGGCAAAGTAAGACTAAAAAGAAATCAAAGGAATCATTTTTTGGTTCAGTTAAAGAAACTTTTGATGCTATGAAAAATTCCACGAAAGAGTTTGTAAGGCACCATAAAGAAAAGATTAAGCAGGCTAAAGAAGCAGTGAAAGAAAACCTGAAAAAATTCTCTGATTCTGTAAAGTCTACATTCAGACACTTTAAAGATACCACAAAAAACATCTTTGATGAAAAGAAGAAGTCAAATGATAAAAGACAAGAGGCAAACAAGAAAGCTCAAACTTTTTACCGAGAACGTAACTCTTACGAGAATCTGAAGCACGTGCATTACAGGGGACCTAACATGCCAAAAGAATTCAAAGATGGAAGAAAACATCAGTTTACAGCATTTGAAAAAGATACAGATTCACAGAAATGTCTCAATGATCCTTTGTGTAATAGAAAACATCAGTTTGTCTTAAAGGGCTGCTCTGGTATTTTTGAATGTGCTCATGAAGAATTCATTAATCTCTTTAACAGAGTATCGGATCCTATTAGGGTGGATGAATTTAATCGGCTAATGAAAAAGTATTTGCAACAAGTTGTACATAACTTTCATCACTGGAGAGAACTAGAAAATTTCATCAATAAGTTTTTTCATAATGGGGTATTTATACATGACCAGATGCTGTTCACTGATTTTGTTAATGATGTCAAGGATTACCTGGAAGATATGAAGGAATACCAAAATAATAATGAAAAGGTTTTTGAGGATTTGGACAAATACATCTACAGATACTACTTTCATTATGATAATTTACCCCAATATGGACCCAGGTTTGTTTCCGTGTTTGCTGAACTTGTTAACACAATGAAGTAGTCTTTGTAAAGACAACTAGTGTCCTTGTTCTAATAGGTGGTCTTCTAGCCTGTACGTATATATACATATATATCCACACTAGAAGACTTTCTGAAGGACTCAATGGAAATACTAGATTGTATTATATAAAGTGGATCTGTAGTACCTTATATATAAATCTTGTGTGTGTGTGATGTTTGTTTGCGAGGCACTACAGATCCACTGTACATAGCACAATCTAATATTTTTACTGAGTTCTTTAGAAAACTGTGTAACTGCAAGTAGGATTACTTTAGACTGAACAGCTATGATTGCCTATCTGATTGAATGAATAACTAGCTCAGAAGCAGCATTAGCTAGGACTTCCTTGTTGTCCTTCCCGGTATGAGAAGGGTTTTGGATATATTTGAGCAGTCTCAAAGTCCTGTTCTGGCAGGCATATTCCCTGATGGCTTTTTAGGAATTTCACGACTCTTTTGTAGCTTAGTATAATACTGAGTTAGTCTGTGTGCCCAGAACAGAGCTACTCAAATGGCAGGCTTTAGTTCAGGTCCTGACCCTGATTACATTTTGTTCAGGCTTGCTTGCAAAGGTCTTTGGCGTGAATTGTTTCCTACGTTACTTTCCTGTATCTAATGGTATTCTCAGGGCTTCTACAGAGCGGTTGTAGTACGCTGCCTGGCTGGCCCAATGGAGCTAGACATGGTGGGCTGTTCCTGCTGCATAGACTTTGGTGAAAGAAAATTAAGCAAGCAGCCTTAATATATTGTGTGGAACTTGCTCCTTCTGGAACACTTACGTATATATTTTATGTGGCTTTTAATATCATTGCTATTACAAAATTGGCTATATAGTCTCTTGTACTAATGTTTATTCTGATCAGGTAAGAAAAAATGTGATCTAGTAACTAATTTATAATACACAAAAAGTTGTCCTTGTAGACATAACAGAACTTTTCCCTGTGCTGGTATTCAGTGCAAAGCATATTTAGTATTTAGATCAAGGTGCAGTTCTTCAGTCAGGTTTCTCTTTTGGACTTGTATTGTTTATTATTTCATATGGTTTATTGCAGCAGGAAGTCTGAATACTTAACTACTTTGGGATTACTAAATGTTATGTGAGGTAGTACTTTCTCTTATTAAAAGTTGAACCGTGAAGATGATACTCCTATTATCAGCTACCAAGTAGCCTTTTTAATGTCTAGTTTTGGCAAACACATGACATAAGTTTTATGTTTTTATTTATAGTCCAAGTACTTTTTACTAATTTACTATTAAAATGAACTTTAATTTTTAATTAATTGAGTACTTCAGTTTGCAGAAAAACAGAATCTCAAATTCATTTACTGATAGTATTATACGGAAGTTTGTATGATACTGAGGATGCAAATAGCCTTGACTCAGCTTAGCAGAAGGCTAGAGACGCTAGTCATATAACAGCATGTAGTATAATGGGACTGTTTGCATCAAAAACTGCAACAGGTGAGCAAGTGTTTTGTCAGTGCCCCCTCTCTCTGTATAAATGTACTCACTGTACATGAAAACCTCTGAAGTGCCTACGTTTACACAAAGCATGCTTTCCTAAGGCTCTGTAAAGTTTTTGCTTTTTTATAGAGCAGAATGTAATAGAATAACTGAAAAATAGATTGAGACCTCACTCAAGCATCACAGTAGGAATAATCAAACAGCTGTTTTATGTTTTATTTATAGTCCAAGTACTTTTTACTAATTTACTATTAAAATGAACTTTAATTTTTAATTAATTGAGTACTTCAGTTTGCAGAAAAACAGAATCTCAAATTCATTTACTGATAGTATTATACGGAAGTTTGTATGATACTGAGGATGCAAATAGCCTTGACTCAGCTTAGCAGAAGGCTAGAGACGCTAGTCATATAACAGCATGTAGTATAATGGGACTGTTTGCATCAAAAACTGCAACAGGTGAGCAAGTGTTTTGTCAGTGCCCCCTCTCTCTGTATAAATGTACTCACTGTACATGAAAACCTCTGAAGTGCCTACGTTTACACAAAGCATGCTTTCCTAAGGCTCTGTAAAGTTTTTGCTTTTTTATAGAGCAGAATGTAATAGAATAACTGAAAAATAGATTGAGACCTCACTCAAGCATCACAGTAGGAATAATCAAACAGCTGTTTACCTGGCTTTATCCTAAAAAGACCTTCAGGCAACCAGCTGCAGAGCATTTTTATTTTTAGAAAGAATTTATTTCAAATATACCAACTTATTGATGATTTAAACAAACAAATAAACCCCACCCCCATTTTGCTTACAAGAGAAAGGACTACTTCTTAATACTAATTTTGTTTTCTTTTCAGTCAACCTCAGCATGTTAAAAGCTGTTCTTGACAATGTAATTGTGTTTAAAAATGTTTTTGGAGAGATGCTTTCGTAAGAGTAGTAATAAGCTTTTGTTTACTCCTTGCAGTCGACCTAAAAGGCCTTCTTTTACACAAACTGAAAATTCCAGACATGAAAAACAAGCTCAGAAGTACCACCTCCGTAATAAAAGAGAAGGTAAATGGCATAAACATGGTCGCACTAATGGAAGACACATGGCAAATCTTGAAATAGAATTGGGGCAATTACCCTTTGATCCAAAATATTGAGTAATTTATGGTAAAAGTAAGATTAGAATTAATAATTCATGTTGTCTCTGGAATCTAATTGTTTTTCAACAAAGCAGCAAGATGCAAGTTTTTTCTCTAAATAATTTGATTTTTACACATTTTTGTTAAAAGGCAGAAGTCAAGCTTTCTAATTTGCATATTCTGTACTGTTGCTTTAACTGTTCTTCAGAAGTGATGATAGTTTGGGTGCCAGCAGTATTGTTGCAGAAACTAGGCATGCAATGACTTGTGTATGAAAAATATGCTTAATTGCATTCCGTTAGTGTAGCTCAAGCTTGAGTCATGCATAATGTACCAATAATTAACTCCAGTGTTTGATATACTAACTTCATCTCATCCTTCAAAAAATAGGTCTACATTATGGTAATGTATTTGTTAGTGTTTTGTAATCTTATACTTGCTTCTTGTCTTTGGGGGGGGGAGGGGGTTCAAGAGCCTGTTGAATTGTGAAGAATTTGCTGTGCTGCATTCTAATCAGCTTGCTGATTTAAGCACTTGAAATGTCTTGCATATCTGCATATTGTAAGAAGAAAAATAAAGAGACATTGTGGATAAAAGTCTTTATTTATAAAACAAATCTGCATAGCTGTACAGTTCTATAAACATGGTCCAGTCTTGTCTAATTCCTTATTGTCTAAGTAGTCATATGGTAACTTTGGTCTTCCCGATGTTTTCTAGTGTTGCAGGGTAGGTCAACACTCCCACCCTGCCATACTGCTACTGAAGTTGCCTTCAGGAAGAGGTTTAGGTATTTCCAGACAGCCAATGGCTGCCTAATCAGACTTCCCCATTTGACTTACCAGGTTTCAGACTCACTACTCTCTCCTTTCTGCAGTACAAGATCTTCTAAGCATAGTACTGCTACGCAAAATTGATCTCATTAGGTCTGAAGTCTAGAAACTGATCTTCAGGTATGATTCATTTCAGTTTTTTTCCCGTAGACGTAGATGTGGCTTCCAACTCGTCCTTGAGGTATGTGAGTGTGAAAGACACTGGCTGTTTTCTCATAGCCCCTTAAAGCTAGAAATGATGATATTTCCTGTGAATGAACATACATTAGTTTCTACAGTCAGGAAGTGTAGTTGGGAGCACCAGAACAGTGTTCCAAAGTCTTCTGAAAACTATCAGTTCAACTGTCCCCTGGAAGTTTTATCCTTTATTTTAGGAAAGACTGCTAGAAAAAGAGGTACCTATCCTGTTTGATCCTGTCCGGAGTGGTGGATATTCACCAGACACTTATTTGAGGACATGACTTCATAAAAGAATTGAGGGGAAAAGGTACTCTGACTGCAGGCATTTTTGCTTGTCATTGTTGCTTACTTAAAAGTGTATGGTTCTAGGAACAGACCGCTCATTTATTTTAATATGACTTGAGGAGAATTCCATAAAACATTATGTAATGTAGAATTCTCACAGAGAGGGCATACATGAATATAAAGTATGTATCACTGGAATGGTATCTATACTATATTATGGACCAGAGGGTTCAATTTTAATTTAAACTGTGTTTTAAAAAGTTGTGGACAACAATTTTCAAAAATCTTAACTATAACTCTCCCCTAATTTATTTTTTAACTTGACCTCAAAACTAGTTTGTTTCATCTTGTAGTTACCATACCTCTTCTAGCACACTGAAGAAGATCAAGTGACTGGGTAATAACGTATCATTGTAAAACTCCTTATTAAGCCAGCCAAGTGGATTAGAGTAAAACACATCTGCTTCGTCAATATAGCTCTCATTTCCGGTTAGGTCTGGGGGACACTGAAGGAATCTCATTTTTAGAGGACAGTGAACATGACTAGGGAGAAAAACAAAACAAACACTTCAGGATAAACTGACCAATATCTAAGATTTTAAATGACTCATCACTTAAAGACACCTCAGTCAAAACCAAAATTGAGTAATTAGTTTTTTCCCCCAGAGTCATATTTTCTTCCCTTCTGTACTTCATAGGAAAGCAAAAGTAGAACAAGTCGATTCAGCTCCAAACTGCTGTGACTATGTTGTTAGCAGTTCACAGAAAGCAGATTTATCTTAACAAAAATACCATCTGCGTAACATCAGTTTCTTAAAAAGATACTTTTCCATATCAGCTTCAGTGTTTATATTTGCTTTAATGTTTTGTTTACTTGCTAGGATCTATTGCAAACTTTTTGGAATAGCGACCTCAGTCGCTGTATGTTGTAATTACATTTCTTTACTCTCTAGCAGCAGAAGTAAAGGTAAAATTAATAAAGTTTGACAGTAACAATTAGTCTTTAGCTTTGCTGCAAAAGTTACCGTAATGGAACAATATGACTTACTTTCAGAAGTCGTAAGACTGCGTATCCTCATATAGAGCTATTTTACAAAAACTGAGTAAAACTTAGATGCTGAATTTTATTCTGTGGTATAAGCATTTGGCTTATTTCCCCTATTCATTCTGTATTAATGGTATGAAAAATCAAAACTCTTCCTGTACATGTTTATCCATCTCAATTTATTAAGCTTAGGGGGAAAAAAAAAATCTTAATTTCTGCTTAAGTGTATGGATTTTAATATAGGACACAACTATTTTAATACCTGTAAAATGGAGTAGAGTGGCACGGCATCATGATGAAGACAAAAGCTTGTGACTGGTAGGAGTTATTACAGAGTTGCTGTATGTGACTCATAACATCAAGAGTGCCTCGCTGGTGAATCAAGCCTGCGTACAGGGCTGGGAGTAAGTTTGATAAAAGCAGGAACCTTGCTGCAGATTTCTTCCATGCTTTCAGGTGTTTCAAAGAATATCCTATAGAAACATTTGAGTAAGTTTTAGAGTCATGCAAAAACTAACAGTTCCACACAGTATTTTTGAAAGTACCATAACTTACTGGAAAACCATTACTCAGTTGATAACAATACCTTGCTTTGAGGTGTTTCAATATAGTGTTCTTTCTGTCTCTACTCTTTGAATGGAAATTCAACGGTTAGACTTTGCCCGTATTAACTCTTGGGTTTAACAGTGTAAATGTTAAACCCATACCTATCTTTTGAAGTACAGAAGTACAATTTCAAAGCCAGTGCTTTGTCTCTTTAGAGCTTAATTTTAATTTCTTGTGGGGAAAAATAGTCCATTTGGTAGTTTGGATGAATGATATGTGGTGACTTACTGATGTGTTCTGATTCACGCATGTCCAAGTAGAGCCAGAATAAATGGTAACTACATGTGCTGTGGTATTCTTTTTCTCCAACATGCTGAAAGCTACAGCATTCCCTTATGGTTATTCATTTTTGAGCTACTGTCCTTGGAAAAGCTTACTCCTCCATCTTTTCCCATCTCCCGTCCCTGCCCCTTCCCCTCCACTATTCTTGAAGGAGCTAATAATAGGAAGAGACATTTCTCCTGGTGGGAGATAGCTGTATAAACCTGTTTCTCACAACCACAATTTAGATGAACCTGGCACAGGAGACAGCTTCATGTTGCAACAAGTCTGGAAACCCTTATTAAGTCATGTGCTTGTCAGTACTAGGAGATAAAAATGTTTTATGCAGCCTAGCTCTGTGACCGCTTTTACTGAATCACAAGAAGCAAGTTAGAATTGGCCTGTTTCAGAAGTCAGGAACAAGTAAGTTAAATTAGTCTTCAGCTGGTCCGCTCTGACAAATTGCAGATCTTTATCTCAGATGAAAACAAAGTCCACTAATTAGTCTGTGGTTTAAACACTAGTGGAAACATTCTATTATAGGTATTTTTCTACTGCTTTTGTGAAATGCTCTTAGCTTATCTTTAAGTGTGCTTGGAAATAATTTTGAAATTCATGTGGGTTTTTTTTCCTGCTTTTATTTATAATGTTTTGAGCAATTTAAAGACCTCTTTGTAACTAGTTATCAGAAATAACTTTTGTCATTTTTTTTCTTTACTAAAGTATCCAAACAGATGATAATTAGCTCTTGATAAATTCTGGAATTTTTCTGCATGTGAGGTAGAACTGTTTCATCTTAAATCTGCTGTTGAACTAAGGCAAGACATATTACATATTTGATCTCAGCAGAGAACAAAAATTATTGAAATAAGATTTACTTTTGTTTAGACTAGCAAAACAGGTTAAAGAAAATTACAATTTTCATTGATTCATCTGTTTCGAACTTGTATTTAAACTAAAGCTATACAGCTTCATGTTCCAGAAGTTTTAATCTTTCCTTTGTAACTTTTCAGCATACTAGACTTTACATCATGATTTTACTTTTCCTACAGATAAACTACTGTAGTTAATACCTAGTTTTATAAACGTAAAATACTTCCTTATTAGGCTCTTTTCTGTGTTTAAAAGAAAAAAAAACACAAAACAAAGGAAAAAAGATAAATAAATACTTTAAAAGTTTCTGTTAAAGTATCAGAAAAATCTTTGTTAGCAAAAGCAATATGCTTTCCAGTTTAAACTGCGGACAGATTTTCTTTAATTTTTAAGTTAATCACATTAGTTCAGGGACCTTACTCCTGTTTTAACAAATTCACCTTACTATGCCTGAAGGAAAAAGCTATCACATTAACTGCTCTAAAACTTCTGTGGGAAGTAGCCTCCAGCTGGTGGTTGGTTGAAAGCAGACAGAAAACTAGCATCATCTACTAACACACCTGAATCTAGAAAAGGATAATTTTAGTTTTTGAATACTTTCATTTTTTTGTTGCATACTCAAAGGCATTTGTCAGGCATATTTGACAGAACTGGGTGGAAGAATACTACAAAGGAGCCAAGGAACAAAATTCACTGTAAGGGTGGCATTGCTAAAAAGTTAGGAGTCACTGAGGCAATTTTCATATTTTTTGCAGGAATTACTTTTATCCAAGCTAAGGATTCTCCGTCTGTATTTCAGTCACTTGCTGTTCCTCATCCTTTTTGGTTTTTTTCTTTTTTTTTCCCCCTAGCTGTAAGAAAAGGTTAGGCTAGTTCTAAGAAGCCTTTGTCAAATACCTACATTGACTATTAACAGTCTCTCTTTAGGTAAAAATTATATACAGGGGAGGTTGCAAGACATTTGAAACCAATGCTTACCACAAAAAAACATGCAAAATGGCAGTACTGGGTAGATGAACCTGAATTCTTTATGGCTCAGAGTCCTGTAATAAAACAGATACAATAGTACAGCGAGAAAGTTAAATGCATCAGTTCTGTTGACAAAATGTGTTTTAGAGCATGGAGGACTAGAAGAAAAGCACTTGCATGTACTAAAAGCTTTTGGCATTGAAGCAGTTTAGAGTAAAAATCCAAATTGTCACTTTTTAAGAACATAATGAGTACATTAAAATTAAGATTATTCGGTCAGTTTAAACCAAGCACTAATAAAAGTACCCGGTTACTACTCTAGCAATTAAGTGGTCTGATTCTATGACTACTAGATATAACTTAGCTAGTACTTCACCAGTTTGCTTTCTGTAATAAAACACAATAAAAAGCGTGGATGAGAAGCCAAGATTCAAGTACACATTTGTAGCTAACAAAGTAACATTCACCTCTGCTAATACAACTTTACACAATTTCCCATGCCAACTTTTGGGGCTTTTTGGGGGATTACTGCAAGACTTGCATCATGGGAACCAAACAGGTTCTTACAAGACTAAGGG